AGGGGGGGGGGGGGGCCGGATCAGAGAAGCATTTGAGACGTGACACAAGGCCTGGTCACCAGTGCCCTATCTTCGGAGAGATCATGTGGTCTGCCCCCTGCCTCGCGGCTGCGAATTAGGCCTGCGGATTGCAGGTCCAGGAGAGGACCTCGTGGTTTGCGTGGTTCTCGCAGTCTCCGCACGCCCACCCGCACGCTGTGAGACCTGAATGCGAGTGCGCACCAACGCCAAGGCTGACTCTTTTTTTTTTTTTTTTTTTTTTTTTTTTTTAAATTTTTTTTTTCAACGTTTATTTTTGGGACAGAGAGAGACAGAGCATGAACGGGGGAGGGGCAGAGAGAGAGGGAGACACAGAATCGGAAACAGGCTCCAGGCTCTGAGCCATCAGCCCAGAGCCCGACGCGGGGCTCGAACTCACGGACCGCGAGATCGTGACCTGGGTGAAGTCGGACACTTAACCGACTGCGCCACCCAGGCGCCCCAGGCTGACTCTTTTCTGGGGGACACGGGGCTCTTTCCGGGGCCTTGCGGACCCTCCAGTCACTGCACTGCCTTCCTGCCCCGGGGAGGGAGGAGGGGCTCCTTCGTGGTCTGACGGCCGGTTTCCTCTCATTTTCTCTCACACCAGCATTTCCCCTTATAACTCTCCTGCACGTTTACCTCTGTCTTGGGAGTTTTGCTTCTCCGAGGGCCAGACGAACAACCCGCTCCAGGGACCTGCTTAGAGTCTCACTGATACTCTCTGGGATTAAATCTGCGTTTGTCATGCGCCAGAGAAACTGAGCTTTTACACTGCCTGACCTACTCTGATGCCATGGATTTTCTCTATTTATTCTGTCTTTATTCTTACACGAGTGATACGTTTTCACTTTAAACATGTAAAGAGTTGAGAGATATAACCATATATACTATAGAAAGTAAGAGAATCCAATCATCTCCCCCCCCCCCCCCCCCCCCCCCCCCCCGAATCCTGGGCGTGGTGTATTAAAAAGCGATTATTTTACACCTCTGTCAATTGCTGGCTTCAGGAACATGACACTGAAGGCACACACCAAAGGTGTCCCTAGGAATCTCTGACACCAGCAGAAAGAAGCACTTACTACTGAACAATTGCTGGAGCACAGAGTAGCCACTTTGCTCACTCCGATATCTCCCCTAGCTAGCCTTGGCTTTCTGGAACCAGATTTTGGGGCTACAACCTGTTAGAATAAACTACATTATTAAATATAAATGGGTTTATTTGGGAAAATGAGTGCAAACGTGGCCTTAAATGGTAAAATCCAACGTGAAAAGCACATTGAAAAACTAATATACCAGAGTTTCAAACTTGTTAAAAACACACCCTTACCCTGACCTAACTGCTAAGATTAATGTTGAAATAGGTAACTTGCAGAACAAAGCAAAAATCTAAACCTCTTCTTTTCCCAGGCTAAAATTAAATTTAAAAAATATTAGGAAATCTTACTTTAGAGCAGCAAGTGGACGGCGTCCTCCAGATCCCCGTGCGAGCAACAAACTTGAGACCTTTGTGCAGGAACAAGTCAGGCGCTTAAAGATGCATGTTGGGATTTGTAGTTTCGTTCCGTTTTAAGGAGTCGCACGTTTGTATACTATATACACGTGTGTGTGCTGCCATCTAGTGGAGCTCATCTAGAACTGTTAACTCCAAGGAGAAGGTGAAAACTGGAAAAGCCCCCTTACAGCTTACTTAGGATGTGGAAATCATTTGCTTCACTTTAACGGGTCTTTGTTGTTTGTTGGGGTCTATTATGCGCTCTTCTAGGATATTTACATTTTAATGAGTAAGAAATTTCACGTGAAAGAGAGCAGGGCAATAAAATAGAAGGGCCCTAGATCATTTAAGATAGTGGAGGCTTCCTTCCTGGCCCTTCACCAAGATTGTTTTGAGGGAGAGAAATAAAAATTCTCTCATTTTAAGGCATAGTTACGGTTGTTTCGTCACAGTCTACTCTAACACTAGTACATATTTAGTGGCAGAGTGCAGGCATCCTGACTACCCTGAGGAGGCAGGGTCCAGGCAACACTTCAAGCTTCACAGTGTGGAGGAGGTGTGGAGGCTTGAAAGGGAAGGACATGTTGGGTAGGAGCAAAAAAAAATCAAGCTCGGCTGAAGAGAACAGATATTAGAGATTGAAAAGAAAGGATGAGGTCATGTGTGCTAGGCTTAGTCATTCATACTTATCAGGTGTGTAATTGAGCAGGGTGATTGTGTAAGTTATTTTCTGCATGTACTATTTAAGTTGGTTTACTCAACATGCACCCACCTCACTTTCCTCTGCCTTTTATTTTATAAAGGTCGGAAAACAAAACTCTCAAATTCCAGCCTCTTTTGCTGCTAGTGCTGGCCAAGGAAACACAAGCTGAGGAGGACTTCCTTCTTGGATAGAAAGGCAAGGCCACTCTGAAACGCTTTCCATTTTTGCCCTTTCCTTGCTTTTTCCTGGAATGCGAATATTCCTTGGGACATGGCAGCCATTTTGTGACTTGGTATGAGGTCAGAGGCACACATTAAGGACAGAGCCCGGTAAGGGAAGGAACCTGATGGCTTGAAGACAGCCTCAGTGCCTCAGCCCTAGACTAACTCCTCTGTGCTCCTTATATGAGAAAAAGTTAACTTCATTAGATTATGTTTTTCTCTAGGTTTTTTTGTCTTTGGAACCAAGTATCTTCATAACAGTCATGATGGTTAAGAACAAAGACTGCGGAGTCAGAAAGACCAAGGTAAGCCCCACATCTTTTCACTAGCTGAGTAAGTAACAACTCTCCAAACCCCAGTTTTCTCATCTGTTAATGAAGGTAACCATAGCACCTACCTCAGGCATGTGAGGAGGGACTAGAGGCATGTACAGATACCAGCACATTTGTTACATTTTTACTTAATAAACGTTAATGATTATTAAAATTCAATTATAGTAGATGGAAAAATTTGATTTTAAAAAATCTCTGATCTAATTTCTGCATACATCCACGTACAGTTTTTGGTAAAACTGTCCCTCATTGCCTACGGTAGCTTCCAATGGAGTCTAATGATCTCTAATCATCCCCAGCTGTGCTCCTTGCCTCAATGTCTTTCCTTTAACTTTTGAGGATTTTAGAACGGATTTTATATGGACATGAGAATTCTCTAATCAAGGCCAACTCTAACACTTTCTTGGTGCAACTTTCTTCTGACCCCTTTGTCCCCAGATTTTCCACAATAATGCTTACTCTGTGATAGCCTAAGTAACATGGTGTTGTAAAAATTTGCTTACACATCTGTATTTTCCATGGACTAAATTTCTTCAAGGCTAGGGACCATATCTTTTTCACCCTTATATTGCAATCAGCATACAGTAATTTGTTTTCCAACTAAACATGAATTTCACCAAGACAGTACCTTTTGGTGTCCAGACCAGCGATTGGCACACAGTAAACGACCATTAAATATTTGCCGAGTATGAATGGCAGGCTCTTAGTTTTCTTGAATATAAATCTGCCAGGCTCTCAAGAAAATATTTCCTATGAACAATAATCTATTTGTCTTCAGTCTTGGCTTTATTTTCAGGCCAGTTTAGTGTTTTCTGACCATATTACTGCTTTTTAACATTCTTGCATGTTTCATTGATGACTTTCGTCATTATCCTTTCACAGCCATTCATCATGATATTGAAACTCAGATCTCAAGAGTTTAACATTCTGAGGGAGATGTCGACAACATGGAGGAAAAGGGAGTCCCACCTCTCTTTTCCCCCGAGACACTGATTTAAAACACTAAATGAACCAAAATACCTTCTTAACCTAACTAAGCCAGTTAAGAAGTTGCAGTACCCTTGGTAAGGAGAAAGCTAAGAACAGCTGCATTGAAATGGGCAAGAGCCATTTCACCTCACCTGTGGCTCCACCCATCCCACCCCACCCCTTTCCCAAGCTAGCACAGTTCAGCCTCTGGCTCCTGGTTTCTCCAGGGGAGTAGGGGGAAAGAAAAGAGTGGAAAATTCATCCAAAATTCTTTCCATATGGCAGCCCAAGGGACTGGTTTCTGTCTTGCCTGACTTGGGAGGCTGATGGAACTGGCATAGTTGGCACTAGACGGCCTGCAGTGCCCCAGAAGGAGACCGGAATGGTTCAACACACTTGGGAGAGAGGAGGAAGAGTAGAGTATGTGCTTGGTGTTCCAACTTTTTGGAAGGCTGTCCAAGATTGATATTTGTCTTATCTACCTGGGGTGCTAATGGGAGGCTGAGATGCTTTGGATGCCTGGGGGCTAATGAGAACAAAGGAGAGCAGGTGGCTTCTTACTGCATTAAAGAACATGTTGTACTGCAGACAGACACCAGAGGGAGCAAGAGATACAGCTCTCAGAAAAGAAATTGGCAAATTATAACACATAGCCCAGAGAAGTCATATCCCCCTAAAAAGTTTTCAGAGACCCCTGGCATCTATGACCAGGCTGACTGGTGTAAGCATTCCCCTGTGTGAAGCAATCTGTATACTAGAAGAGGTGGCTGCTTTTTCAAATGCATTAAACTCAGCAAAAAATCAGAAAGCACATGTACACACAAAGAGAAGCATGACCCGAAGGAACAAAATAAGTCTCCAGAAACTAACGCCAAAGAAAAAGTGATCTATGAATTACCAAAGAATTCAAAACAATAGTTTTAAAGATGCTCAATGATCTACAAGACAATGCAGATAGGCAACTACATGAAATTAGAAAAACAATGCATGAACAAAATGACAATATTAACAAAGAAATAGAAACTATAAAAAAAGAACCATAAAGAAATTCTGGACCTGAAGAATACAATGACTGAATTAAAAAATTTACTAGAGGGGTTCAGTAGCAAGACTTGATCCAGGAGCAGAAAGAATCAAAGAAAAAGGAATAAAGAAACATGAAGAAAGCCTAAGGTTCTCATGGGACATCAGCAAGTGGACCAATATATGCATTATGGGACTTCCAGAACAGAGAGAGGGTCAAAAAATTTATTTGAAGAAATAATGGCCCCAAACTTCCCAAATCTAAGGAAATGGACATCCAAATTCTAGAGTTGAGCAATATTCTACTAGACTGGATACCTGATGACTGATTACGTTTAATGGACTTAGTTTTATTATCCAGGTGAACCTACTACCTTGAGTTACTGTTATTCAGTGGAGGAGCAGACATTGTCAAGAAACAAATCTGCAGCTCTGCTATAGTGTCTTATTGGGGGAAGAGTGAAAAGGAGAAACAACTCCGAAGGGACTGGCTTGGGGGAGACAGTTATTGGAAGGGACACCTTCCCTTAGCCCTAGTGAATGCCTATGATAGTATATTAAGGGAAAATATCCATCCATAGATTGTAAAATGATGGCTATGATGAAATTCACAATCTCTTCCTTTGAATGAATTTTATCAAAGAGCCAAGAATGCACTGAAATCACTAACTGTTCTAAACCTTATGCAACTTGCTGTTTTATGTGATTTTTCAAAGTCTTATGATTTAAAAGTAGTAACAGATGCTCTCTAAAACCATAGTTCTTAACCTCCTATAGGGTGACAGATCCCTTTAAGAATATGATAGAAGTATGGACCCAAGTATCCTAGAAAAATGAGTTTACATACAAATTAACATAAAATTTCAGAGGTCTTACAGACTGCATGAAGCCCATCCACAGATGCCTTATGTATGTGTGGGGACTCTGGGTTTCTAAGATTTTCTACTTTGATAGAAACCAGGTGTTGTTTCCTCATGTCTGAAATACAAGGGTAGGATAAATGGTATGAAGTTCTTACCGCTGGGAGTAAAATGCAGCACAGTACAAAGTGTAAGAGCAAATCAACCAATTTAGAGTTCTTGTATAGGGAGTGGGTGGGTACAGAAAAACAAAGAGAATTTTTGTATTTATTATAGCAAAACAAAGATCAGACTAGAAAATGAAGAGGTCACAGCACTTTGCTGTCCCTTAGCAACTTAAATCCAGGAAGCATGTATATATTCTTGTAGCAAAATTCTGAAAGTCACCAAACGAGTACAGCCAAATATACCCTGAATACCCCACCAAGAAACCATCAATATTACATAAAGTTGTGATTCAGAACCACTAATTAAACATTTATTCAATGTTCAAGGCACTTAAAAAGTAGTTCATAATGTTAATTAAATGACACTTTATGTATTAGGCCTTAGAATTACCTAAGTCATGTGTAAAACATTACATTAATAAAGATGAATACATTTTGCATATGCATGGAAAGACTGGACATTTCCTTCAATAATTTTATTCTTTATAAAATATATAAATAAATAAAACAATTCAATTTCTAAAGTATTACCACATTCAAGGAGGTTTTGCTATCAGTCATTCCAAATTATTGCAATGCATTAACCTCCTGTTCCTTCATCTTCCAATTCTAGTGGCAAAGTGAAAACTGAACTGAAATTACGTTGGACTGTGGTAACATTGCCAGGGATAGGCACATAATGTAAAAGTACAGTCATTTCTCAGCAGGAAATGCTGGGCCCCCAGGAAAGTGACAGTAGAGGAGCCTACTGGGTCTTGCACTCAGGCATATCTTTTCTTGAGGAGGTGTGCCAAAGACTTGGCTGAGGACCCACTCTCTCTGCTCCAGCAGTTTGTTCTTCTGAGAAAAAACAAAAAGAAAAAAAAAAAACCCAAAAGTAACCATATTTTATTAAAAAAACTACACAAAATTCTAATAGAATTGGAAATGTACACAATGCTAAGACAGCAGAGATAAGAAGAATGAAAAATGACAATATGGTCATTAACCTCATGTTTGGTCATTACAAAGGTTTATTTCACTTCATCAGAGTTGGAGAAGTTTATTCCCCATTTTCTCACAAAATCAATTGTTAGAAAAACCATTTTGAACATAAAACCAAGAAGCAATAAAGTCTCATTTGAAATTCATCAGTTTGAGATTCAAAGTGAAATCAAACACAGAGTGAGTCTGATTTTCTTTTGCCTGAATTTTAGGGAAAAAAAAATGCTATACTAAACAAATACTATTAATTTTGGAGACTATTTAGCCATCCTTGGAAAACTTTCTTTGAGCCTTTAAAGAGCACTTCAGTTGTGTTTGTTTATAAATAATATTGATTTTCAAATGATTATATTCATATAAGTAAATGTCTCATACCTGGTCTTTGCAATTATCTCAAGTTGTCGAGAAATTTTAAATTATCTTTTATAATTCAAAATAAAAGCATTAAAATTTTCTTAGAATGGTATTTTACTAATTCAGGCTGGGACTATGTCCTTTAAGGCTGAATTGGCCAGTTTTTTGATTCATATATTATTCCAGTCTACTCTTTTTTTTTTTTTTTTTAAGCTTATTTATTTGAGAGAGGGAGAGAGCATATATAAGCAGGGGAGCGGCAGAGAGAGAGGGAGAGAGAATGCCACACTGTCAGTGCAGAGCCCCAGTGGGGCTTGATCTCACGAACCATGAGATAAGGACCTGAGCCAAAATCAAGAGTCAGACACTTAACTGAGTCAGCCACTGAGCCACCCAGGTGTCCCTCCAGCCTACTCTTTTATTTATTTTACTTAAAAATAGTACCAGAGTGATCCATATATTGATAAAAAGACTTAAGCATTTCTACTTGTGGTTTCATATCATGCATGTGTCTCTGGCATTATCAGATAAAATCAAGAGGTGATTAACAGTTTCCTGATTTTTCAGAAGACTCTTCTAAAATAGCATGTATGCATATACAGCAAAAGTTCCACATAAGTGTTAGCTAATGGCAAGTGCTTAAATGTTTGTTAAATACTATTCCATAAAATGAATAGTTTAAACATTTTTTCAAACTGATGTCTTCCTATATCCCAAAGAGCACTTTAAGACTGAGGACTTATCTAATATTGATTTTAAAGTTGATGAGAATGGACAGATTTTTTTTAAAGTCACACAGCAGAGTTCCTCACAAATCCACAACCTTCACTTGGGGCCAAAAATGATTTGGCAACTGCTTTCCTTAGGTGTACAATTTTATTGCTGTAGATTTCTACAACTGTGTAATGGGATTTCTGGCAGGCAGATATGCAGTCACAAAGGCTCTGGCCACACACACAATCAATGCTGTGTGGTGAGAAGGACTACAAGAAACACAGTATTACAGACTTTCTTCTGCAATGCTCTACACCTCTGTGTCTGGCACCCCTCTTACCATCTAGCCAGGCACCTATGACTGCTTTGACTCCCCTATCTCTCCTGTCCATCCACTTCTCTCTAGCTCTACTGAATCTGCTCAGGTCCACGCTAGTATGACCTCTTGCTTAGACAACTGTCATAAACTCTTGCTCCTATTATTTGTTGGTTACCATATAACTAAGGTGATGTGTTCAAAATTTATAACTCATTATGATCCCCTGCCATTATGTTGTTTAAAATCTTTCAAAGACTTCTTCTATACAATCTACAAATTCCCACACACCTGGCTCTTCTCCTCTTTGCCTTCAGGGCCTCCAACCACAGCAGCTTGTGTTAACTGTGCTGTGGCCATACGATCTTTCTTCTAATGCTTCCCCTGGTTATGGTCCCTCCTACCTTGGGCTGTCACTGTTCTATCTGCCAGAAATACTTTTCCCTCCCCTCTTCGTTAAGCAAACTCACATTAACCTTAGATCTCAGTTTCCTTCTTCAAGGAAGACTTCCTTAATATTCCTGCAACAAAAACCTATAATATGCCTGATAGCCTTTTATACTCTAGAATTTTACCTGTTTATTTTTGACTACTTGATTACTATATCTCCTATTGGACTATACGCTCCAGTAGAGTAAGGGACCATGTCTGGTTTTGCTTATCAATGTATCTGACACATAGTCGGAGATCAAAATTTTTTGTTGATTGAATTAATAAGTAAGTGAAATAAGTCTATGATCTGGCTTGTGTAAAATGAATATAATGCTATTGGAAATGCTGGCCAACTGAATTGATAAGAAGGGCTTCTTCGGTAAAAGTTTTGTTTATAGTGTAGTGTCTTCATGTTTTTAACAGAGTTGCTTATTTCTCTTAGGGAAAAGCTGAAGGTTTAAGAGGCAGAATAAAGACTTAGCTTGGGGTAAAAAACAATACACGTTAGTGCCATGCTTTGGAGAAACTTTCTCACCCCAGAAATGCCAAATCAAGTTGAGCACCATAGTTTGCTCAACTATATCTTGTCTAAACTTGCCCTTTGAGGTCACAAATTAATGATAAATTCTGACAGATATCCCCTGATTTCTAAGGAACCAGGATATATACTTACCTGGGCAAAGGCCTAAACCTGAGTTATCAAAATAGCGAACTGGTTGAGGTGTTGGTAAAGACTTTGATCGGCTATCGAAAAATGAAGATTTTGGTGATTCCCTTGGCACAGGATCTTGTAAATTCCGTTCCTTGCATTGAGAAGGTGTATGTGGCCTCTTTTTGGAAGCTGTTCTAGTCATTTTAGGAGACTGTGGAGAATTCTCACAATTAACTTCTTTGTGTGCCTCTCTTTTAAGGATTCTTTCCTTCCACATTTTGACCTCACCGGAAAGATGATGATTATTGCTTGAATATAGTAGGGAAAAAAAAAAAAAAAAAAAAAAAAAAAAAAAAAAAAAAAAAAAAGAGCCTGTAAGTCTGCTCAATTCCTGAAATTTATTCACACTTACATTAAAAATTTTTTAAACTCTGGTAAAATATATACAACATATAATTTACCACTTTGTCTTGTTTTTAATCTTAAATTTTAGTTCTAGTACAGTTAACATATAGTGTTATATTAGTTTCAGGTGTACAAAATAATGATTCGACACTTGCATACAATACCCAGTGCTCTTCACAACAAGTGTACTCTTAAGTCCCCATCACCTATTTCACCCATCCCATTACCCCCTTCCCTCTGGTAACCATCAGTTTGTTCTCTATGGTTAAGAGCTTCTTGGTTTGTCTCTGTCTCTCTCTCTCTTTTTTTTACATTTATTTTTGAGAGATAGAGTGAGACAGAGCACGAGTGGCGCAGGGGCAGAGAAAGAGGAGGGGACACAGAATCTGAAGCAGGCTCCAGGCTCTGAGCTGTCAGCACAGAGTTCGATGTGGGGCTCGAACTCACGGACCATGAGATCATGACCTGAGCTGAAGTCAGACATCTAATCGACTGAGCCACCCAGGCACCCCAACTCTCTTTCTCTCCCCACCCCCTTTGCCTGTTTGTTATAATTTACCATTTTATCATACTTATATTCCCACCTAATGCTTCCTGCTTGGATTATTTTCACAGTTCAGAAAATGAAATGAGGTCGCATTAACTGAACGATTGTAATCATGGAGTCCTGAAAAGAAAGCTTAGAGTATGACAGATTTTCAAATGAATCAGTGAGATCATCCAGAGTGGTTTACCTATTGATACCTTGCAGCAATAACTTGACAAATTAATCTTCTGGATAGACTAATCTTTATGTACCTTTGTTATTTTAAAAGAAATACTACACCATGCTTCTGAACTAGTTATAGTCTTGCTTGCTGCAGGAAATGTCACCAGCATTTATCCAGTTCCTGCAGAGAGAAGCCTGGGGACCAATCCCAGAGGCCTTGCTCTCCTTTATTTGGTCATCCAGGTCTGTGGACCCAACCTCATACTTAATCTTTCAAATTTATCTCCTTATATTTATTCCAATTGGCTCCATTCTAGTCCATGCCAAAATTATCTTTTGCATGGACTATAGCAAATAGATTCCTAAACTGGGTTTCCCTATTTGCTCTAGAGCCAGAGATGCTATCTGATCTCATCAGGCCCTGGCTTAAAATCCTCCACTGGAGGTCACTTTCTCATTATATTGCAGATTATCACCCACGCCTTCTCAGACTGACCCAAAAAGGCCTGTGTAAGTAACCTAGACCAGTGACCTCTGGCATCTCTTCTTGTACCTTAATGTTTCATTCTCTACACCCCAGTCACACTGGGTGTCTTTCAGTTCCACCAACAGGTTATTCTTTCTGATTGAAGCCTGTGCACATGCTGGCCCCTGCCTAGAAGGCTTATATGTCTCTCCTTTCATCTGGCCTAACCTCTACCCTTTTCTATAACTGCTCTTCTATCAGTTTCTTCGCCATCACCCCTCCCCACAACTAGATAATGTGTTTTTTTTCTGTTGCTGTTTAATAGCACTCATTGCAAAAATTAGTTGTTTAGTTATTTGTTTAATGCCTATTTTTCTTCTATTGTATCATTAGTAAAGTGCTTGGCACAAGATTCTAATCCTTGATAGAAGCCAAATAATTAAATCTGTTAGAACTGTTTATGAAGTAAAAGGAAATACGCTACAATAATGGACTTAAGTTCTCCTTTGACTTGGGTATACAGACTTGTGGTATACTTGAGCTGCCCCTCAAAGATCTGTTTACTTCCTGCTTCTGGGCTTTGTTAAAAATAGGTCAATTGATAGATAGCAAACATCTGGAATGGTGTCCCATAGTCTTATTCCTCTTAAAAGACATATATTACAAAAATGCTGATTCGAAGGGGCACACGCACCCCAATGTTTATAGCAGCACTATCAGCAATAGCCAAATTATGGAAAGAGCCCAAATGTCCATCGACTAGTGAATGGCTAAAGAAGATGTGGTATGTGTGTGTATATATACATATAGTAGAATATTGCTCAGCAATCAAAAAAAATGAAATCTTGCCATTTACAACAACATGGATATAACTAGAATGTATTCTGGGGCACCTGGGTGGCTCAGTCGGTTAAGCGTCCGACTTCAGCTCAGGTCATGATCTCACGGTCCGTGAGTTCGAGCCCCGCGTCGGGCTCTGTGCTGACAGCTCAGAGCCCGGAGCCTGTTTCAGATTCTGTGTCTCCCTCTCTCTCTGCCCCTCCCCTGTTCATGTCTCAAAAATAAATAAACGTTAAAAAAAAAAATAACTAGAATGTATTCTGCTAAGCGAAATAAGTCAGTCAGGGGAGGATAAATATCATAATTCCATGCATGTGGAATTTAAGAAACGCAACAGATGAACATAGGGGAAGGGAAGGAAAAATAAGATAAAAACAGAGAGGGAGACAAACCATAAGAGACTCTTAAATACAGTGAACAAACTGAGGGTTGCTGGAGGGGTGTTGGGTTGGGGCATGGGCTAAATGGGTGATGGGCAGTAGGGAGGACACTTGTAGGGATGAGCACTGGGTAATGTATGTTAAGTGATGAATCACTAAATTCTACTCCTGAAATCATTATTACACTATATGTTAACTAGCTTGGATTTAAATTAAATTAAAAAAATATATATTTATTACACATACTCTAAAAAATAACTTTCCCCAGATGTGTGAAGGCTTGCCAATTGCAAAAAATATATATGCATATGTATATGCCATGCTCCCCACATGTAATAGCCAGAAGCATAATTTCAGTATCGTGTAAGCAGATCTTACCTTAATAGTTCATTTTTTTGCTTTATTAGCTGTTCATTTTGCTGCTTTAACTTAGAGATTTCTTTTTCTAGCCGTATATATTCACTTTTAAAAATAAGAGCTTTTGTGCTTTGTACGATGCCACTGCCACCTCCACAGGTTAAGGGTTTATTAGAAGGCTGAGAGTCCGTACATTCTGATACAACTGTGAGGAGGGCAAATACACACATTAAGTGATAATTTTAATTATCTCCAAAGTTCAAAATAAAGGGAATGTTACTGAGCGCAATAAGTCACTGTAAAAACCAGACCATCTCAATCATCTCCCTAGAAGCCATCCTTGCCTTCCTCCTTCTACCTCACTTCCTGTGCCTATATGATGAACATTTCTAATTATCTCTAGAGTCCTCCTGCTTCTCTCCAACCCACCAAGTCCACTCCCACCACAGTGCTCCCTGAAATCTTGCACAATGACGGCAGCAGCAGTAATCTCCCCAGTGAGTGTGGTCCTTCACTCTCTCTCCTCTCCATCAGTGGAAACACCCAGAGGGCTTCTTACAATACAGAATGTGTGTGTGTGGGGTCCACTGCCAGTTACTCAGTGCACTGTAAGTTCTCAACACATACTTGTTAACTGAATAAACCTCAGAAAGATACTAAAGCATATATTATTAAGTATTCTGCACTATGTGTGTAAAAGTAATGTAAGGAGTTGTTTTTTAAATTTCAGGTAAAACTGCATTAAAATGTGAGGTGCTTCTACGCAGAATAATCCACTGTGTAACCAACAATTTACAAAAGGGTGGTAAGGTGTGTATGGGGAAGACACTTAATGTCCATTTTCTTTTGAATTACTTTGGATTCAGATACAATATGTACTGAAAGTCACAAATCAAGAGTTAATTATCCTGACCCTTCTGTAACAACAAAGCTTGCTCATTTCTATTTTTATCCCTTAAAGTTTTCCAGATAGGGGTGCAATTATCCCACAATAGCCACTAGAGAAGTTCAGTCTACATATGTACTAGACAACATCTTTAACACTTTCTCATTTTTTTTTAAATGAGTGGATAATAATACACACAAGTATTACCTTATGTTTGCTTGACATTTAGAACTTTCAGTGCGCTTTCACACACAACTTTCAGTTTGATCCTTACAATAAGTATATATATAAGCTAGAAGGTCAAGTATTATTGTCCCCATGATTTCATAGGGCCATGAAGTGAGAGTGACCTGTTCTTAGTTCAGTCTTTACTACACAAAGCTGTCCCAAGTACTGTTCAGCATCCTCTCTTTTCAAATGAAACATGAGATAAAAATATGGAAAAAGATATAGGTTGAGGAAATCATATGAGAAATTTGATCATTAGATTTGAAAACTGTGTCTAAAATCAATTTCAAAAAGATTGCACGATTTCAAAGAGTTTGCAAATAAGCATCAACTCTGTATTTTCAGTACTAAGAACAAATAGGATTTTATTTCCTTATTTCTACTGTGTACTGATTGCATTTTTACTGTGCCTATGGTTAAAATCTATTAAGATGTGAATGTCTTCACTACTATGTAAAGATGTGATGATCTGATAATGCAAAGGTAAAATTTGTATTTTTTAAGAATCTCCAATGGACAGTTAAAATTATAGGAAACCAAACTAAATTTGGTACAGGATAAATATGATCCCAGTAAGTTCGTTTCAAAAACAGTTCTTTCTAAATTAGTGATTAACATGTTTATTCTTGACTGTCACATATATAATAGTATTCAAAATGTCTAAGTGTATTGAGAAGTAAAATGGAAAGTTATGGAAATATCAGCATTTTCTACTTACGTGAGGTATCTTGCGCTTGTTGATTTCTTCTAAGATTTTCTCTCAATACCCTTATAACTTCTTTTTGATATTCTACAGTGGCTTTTGTAGAAGTAATTCTAAAAAGAACAATGGAAATATGTAAAAGCCTAGCAACTAATTTTTAATGGAAGAATAAACAGAACTGCTGTCAAGAATTTTCTAATAAGATATATCACATTGACATGAAACCCATAAGTAGTAGCAGATACCCTCCTGGTACCGAGTGTTTTATAGGTACAACACCATCAAATCAGAAGCATTCTGTCTGGTTGCAGGAGTAATTTTTTTAAACAATTCTTTTTAAATATCTGGAAGCCCAATAGCTATTAATTGGATACAATGATTACCAGAGCATGAAAGTGAGAAAAAACTTCTACCTATGTCTACATTGTCAGGGAAGTAAACCCCGGCTGCAGTCCAGTCCAGTGTGATAGTCAAAGGTCAAACAAATTCTGCTCACTGTCTCCCAGTAGAAAGTGATATATTTTTTTTAAAAAAAAATTTTTTTTTTTTCTCAACGTTTATTTATTTTTGGGACAGAGAGAGACAGAGCATGAACGGGGGAGGGGCAGAGAGAGAGGGAGACACAGAATCGGAAACAGGCTCCAGGCTCCGAGCCATCAGCCCAGAGCCCGATGCGGGGCTCGAACTCACGGACCGCGAGATCGTGACCTGGCTGAAGTCGGACGCTTAACCGACTGCGCCACCCAGGCGCCCCCTAGAAAGTGATATTTTATGAACTCCTGGCTTAAGCATTAATCAGCAGTGATAAATCATGAGACTTTCTCCCTTTAGAGACTCTGAAAGTTATCTGCTGATCCTATTCTCTAAGTAAAATTGCTTTTTTTATAGTGAAGAACTTGATAGGTATAAGTTTCACTAAAACCAATAGTCTTATCAATGGAAGGCTAGTCCGGATGCAAAAGTTTCAGAATGCTACTTTTTGGGCAAATTAGGTATCCTTGTTAAATATTTATAGGAAGAACAAAAAGCATTAGGAGCCAGAAGGAATCTTAAGAAATCGTCTAATACAAACTTATTGTTTTATTTATTGAATATGAACATAAAGCCCAGAGAGATTAAACAGCCTATGCAAGGTGATATAATAATGTGGCAATATTGTATTTCTAATTCACTGTCTCTGACTCTGTTTCATGTTCTTTCATTATGCCATATCATAAAGAATTTTAGGCGTGCCATTATGTACAGTAGTATACATAAACAAATAAAAAGAGATTATGCATTTGGGTACTAGGTACCATAATTTAAAAGGAAATACAACCTTTACACAAAAACACAACAGGAAGAACAAATTAAATTAAGAGAACCAACAGAAACCTTGGTCAAACTGCTAGACACAAACACACACATACAGGTTCTTAACATTCATTTTCAAGCATAAAAAGGCCATTTTTAAGCTGTTTATATATGACTGAGCAAGAAGCATCAAAAGAAACATTGTATTAGTAATTGGCCAGAACTATGCACATTTTTAAAAAACTTTGGATATGTAATGAGAATTTAACAAGTTTAAAATCTGTGGATGTGGATATTTATTTTAAAAAGCAATTAACAGTATTTCCATATATTTTAAAAAGTTAACCAATGCAAAGGAATTTATATAATTTAGAAGGCAAACTTGAGCTATTAAAGTCGTGTTCAATTAAGGCAAAGACGTACTCTTTCTCAAACTCTTTGGCAGTTTTCATCTTCTCTAGGTCTATTTTTACCAGCTTTGTTTTGAGATCTTCAATTTCTTCTTTGTAGGGCTTAGCTCCTAAAGCAACTTTGTCCTAAATTTTTTAGAGAAGAGAAAAATAAAATAATTTCAGAGCAGTTTTAAAGAGTTGTTAACTACCTTGATTTGGTAGGAACATTTTAAAACAGCAAACTTCAAATATATGAAAAGCAGGAAAAGGCCCAAAATTTAATCCTAAAATGAACAAGCAGATATTTGATGTGAAGTATATTTGAAACTACTGGAAGCTAATACGTAATTAAGAACATATGACTTTCATTTCTTAAAACAATTTTTTTTCCAATTAAAAATGAAATACTTAAGACAAAATGCAACAAATGTTGAGAATAATGGGGGGTGGTGGTGGGGGTGACAGGGAGGGTAAAATGAAACAAAAAGATGCCAGAATGGCAAAACAAACAGCAAACTAGAACTGAACCAAGGCACAAAGCAGTATAAAGTGTTGTTGGGACATTGTGTACTCAAGGATGGTTCAATCCAGTGCTGTCAATGTATCTACTTCCCATCACAAAAAAAAAAAAAAAAAAAAAAAATATATATATATATATATTATATATATATATATATATATACACATACTTGCTATATGCCTTAAATCTTTTTTTAATAAACAGATTTTTATATTTTAGAGAAACTTTAGGTTGATGAAAACGTGAGCGAGATGGGCCACAGGTCTCCATATACCCTTGTCGCACTCCATCTCCCTCCCCACCCTGCCCATTTCCCCCATTATTAACATCACATATTAGTGTGGTATATTTGTTACAAATGATGAGCCAATATTGATATATTTTAGGTTGCATTAGGGTTTTTTATTTGTACTGTACATTCTATGGATTTTGACAGATGTAAAATGGCACATATCCATCATTACTGTATCATACAGAATAGCTTCACTGCCCTAAAAATCCCCTGTGTTTCACCTATTCATCTTTCCCTCCCTAACCCCTTCCAGACCATTGGCAACCATTGATTTTTTTACTGTCTCCCTAGTTTTGCCTTTTCCAGAATGTCATATAGTTGGAATCATAGGGAATGTAGTCTTTTCAGATTGGCTTCTTCTGAATTTTTTTTTAAATGTGTTTTATTTATTTTTGAGAGAGAGAGAGAGAGAGAGAGATACTGAGCACAAGCCGGGGAGGAGCAGAGAGAGAGGGAGGCACAGAATCCAAAGCAGTCTCCAGGCTCTGAGCTGTCAGCACAGAGCCCGGCACAGGTCTTGAACTCATGAGCCATGAAATCATGACCTGAGCCAAAGATAGACACTTAACCAACTGAGCCACACAAGCACCACCTCAGATTGGCTTCTTTTTAAAAAAAAAAAAAAATTTTTTTTTTAACGTTTATTTATTTTTGAGATAGAGAGAGACAGAGCATGAACGGGGGAGGGGCAGAGAGAGAGGGAGACACAGAATCGGAAGCAGGCTCCAGGCTCCGAGCCATCAGCCCAGAGCCCGACGCGGGGCTCGAACTCACGGACCGTGAGATCGTGACCTGAGCTGAAGTCGGACGCTTAACCGACTGAGCCACCCAGGTGCCCCTCAGATTGGCTTCTTTTAATTAGTGGTGTGTATTTAAGGTTCATCCGCATCTTTTTGTGGCTTGTTAGCTCATTTCTTATTATTGCTGAATAAATCACTTTTTATCATTGTACCGCAGCCATACAATGGAGAATTAGATATTGAATAAAAAATAAAACCCATCTAAATAGGGACCTAGAGAGCTCTCTTTATTTCTCTAGGCTTTCTCACCCCAAACCCCATAGAAACATTCACATGCACACCATGGCTAGCAAAGACTAAAAAGATGCAAAATGATAGATGCTCAGCTTAAGGAGGCTGATGACAGGGTAAGATAAGCCCATTCTTGGAGAAGCCCACTGTTAGCTCAGTCACAGCACCCGTTCAATACCCCACCTTCTGATTCAGATGCTCATATCAGGGACTCCCTGAGAATGTGGCTGACTGAAGTGTTGTCAGTTTTGTAAGAAGTTGCCAAACTCTCTTTCAAACTGGCTGTCCCATTTGCAGTCCTTCAAGCAATGAATGAAAGTTCCTATTCCTCCAGCTCCTCATCAGCATTTAGTGTGATGTTTTGGATTTTGGCGAGCATGGCATTTTGAGATACCATAGGTGTTATAGTGTAGTGTATTTTGTTTTAATTTGCAATACTCTAATGACATGAAGCTGAGAATCTTTTCATTTGCTTATTTGTCCCATGAGTATCTTCTTAGGTGGGGTGTCTGTTTAGATCTGTTGCCCATTTTTTAATCAGGTTGTTTTTATCATGGACTTTTAAGAGTTCTTTGTTTATTTTGGACAACAGTTCTTTATCAGATATGTGTTTTGCAAAAATTTTTCTTCCGGTCTGTGACTTGTCTTTTAATTTTAACTGTCCTTCACAGAGCAGATATTTTTCATTTAAATATTTTCATTTCAACTTACCAGTTTTTTCTTTCCTGGATCGTGCTTTTGGTGTTGTATCTAAGAGAAAGTCACTCCCAAGCCCACGGCCACCTAGATCTTCTATCTTCTCTTCTGGGGGTTTTCTAGTTTTGTGTTTTACATTTAGATTTTTGATCAACTGAGTTACTTTTTGTGGCAGATAGAGGGTCTCTGTCAAGATTCGTTTTTTGGCCTATGGAAGTCCAGATGCTCCAGCATCACTAGTTGCTAAGTTGAGTCTACTCAACTGCCTTTGTTCTGTCTAGGATCAGCTGACTGCATTTGTGTGGGTCTACTTCTAAGCCTTCTATTCTCTTCCACTGATCTACTTGTCTAATATACTGTTTTAAAAGTTCAAAGAACTTTAAAAAAAAAGGTATCCACTTATGACACTAAAAAGAAAATGCAGAGATTACAGTTTTTTTTGCCATGGTATAATGAAATAAATGTCACATATAACATTATTTAAAACATTCTTATGTAAGAGAAATCAAAACTGAAAATACTGAATTAGAAATGAAAGACAACAGAATTCCATATTTCAAACATATGGCATGAGACCAATGCTGCACTCAAGAAATACTGAGTCTTAAATAGTTTCACTAATAAACTGAGAAGACTGCAAACATAAATTTGTTAATATCACCTATTTATCAGCTGCATTTTAGATGGATTCAGTTAACAAAGTTTCCTGGCTCTACCTGAGAAAGAATTCCTTTGAAATTCTGATTTGAATTACATGAAAGTTAGGAATTAACTTGGGAACAACTTAGGCTTGTACAGTATTGAAGTTCCAACCTAGGAAATGGTGTGTTTCTTATAAACCACACGCTCTGTATTTCTTTTTTAAGTTCTCTTGCTCTTTTCATATATGTTTTCCTCATTTTTTGTTAAGGTTAGTCATTCAAGCATTTTATTTTTGATTTTGTGACCATCATAAATAAGATCTTTTTTCTTCTGGGGTGCCTGGGTGGCTCAGGTCATGATTGTAAGTCTGAGCCCCACTCTGTGCTGACAGTTGAGAGCCTGCTTCAGATTCTGTGTCTGTGTCTCTCTCTCTGCCTCTTCCCCACTTGTGCTCTATCAAAAATAAATAAACATTAAAAAAAAAATCTTTTTTTTCCCATCATGCGGGATGTCCCTAAAGTTTTAATGTAACTTAAATTTTTTATAAATTCACTGCTACTCGATATAAACAATTTGTAATGATACAAGGGAGGAAATGTATCAAGACTGAAACAAAATTTTAATGATTCATTTGTTCAAATTACTTTCTTCTCTATTCAATTAATAAACCCCACATTATATTGGACAGCTATATCCAAGATGTTTTCAAATAGTGGGGAATAGGTTAAAAGTTTTTTCTTATGTTGAGTTAAATACACGTTGCATTTTATAGAATATAAGTTTATAACCTTCCAGTTGTCCGGGCCAAAAACTCTGGCATAATGTCTTAACTCCAAGAAATATGAAAGGAAGGCATGTGTGCCACGTCTGGGCCAGAGTCTTCTTTAAGAATAGAGGTTTTAAGATGAATTTTGGCTTCTCCAGCTGTCCCTTTCCTATGAGCCGGAGCATGAACTGCTTACAACCTGGCTTTAACCATGCAGATGAAAACAGCACCAGAGGGGTGGCGGAGAAACAGGATGGGAGACAAGTTAGCCTCTGAATGGTCATGCAGTATGCACCCTCCTGCCAACCTGGAACTCATACTTTTATATGAGATAGAGAAACAAGATTCTCTCTTGTTTGAGTTGTTGCAGTCTGCTTCCCTTTGTTGTAGCAGCTACAACAAACACACCCTCTTGGATTTGATTTTCAAAGGGCAGCCTTTAAAATTAAGTCAGATCATTATATCCTTTTGCCAAAATCCCGACGACTTCTCAGCTCACTCAAAATAAAAACCAAAGTTCTTACGATAACCTGTGAGACCCTTTACGAGTTGACTTTCCGCTACTTCTTACCTTCTTTCCCACCTCTGTCCCCTTGCTCATTCTGCACAGGAGACACCGGCTTGTTTCTTAAACATGTCTAGGCTATCTGAGATTTCCTTTGCCTAGAAGGCCCTTCTGCTACCACAGAGCTCACTCATCCCTTCAAGTCCTCTTAATGGTGTGGCTCTGCTCAGCAACGCTTTGTAAGATAAGAGGTTCCCCTCCCACCCTCACTTTCACCCAGCACCCATACACCCCTTGTCTAGCTTAATTTTTTCCCATTGCACTTTTCACCATTTGACACACATATATACATGGTTACTTTCTGTCTTCCTGAACAAGAATATAAGCAACTAGAAGGAAGGGAGGTACTTTTCTTTCCACTGCTGTATACATGACATCTAGAGCAATGACCAACATATAGAAGACTCAACAAATATTTCTTGATTGAATAAAAATGTGATTTGAAATATTAAATAATTATTCTAAAAAGTTCTAAGGATTTACAATTGATTTTCTTGGTTTTTAGTTTTACATTAAACTATATGAGATTGTTTTTTATTGCTTCTCTGTTTCATGTCTTATTGAATGAGCCAGGACTTTTAGAATAGTATTTATATGCCTTTTAAAAGTAATTTTTCTAGGAATACAAAAATAATCATTATTTTGCATGAAAATATATTCCTACATTTCATTTCTAAGTTTCTGCTTGCTTGCTTGCTTGCTTGCTTGCTTGCTTATTTATTTATTTATTTATTTATTTATTTATTTATTTATTTATTTATGAATGAGAGAGGCAGAGAGAGAGAGGGGGACAGAGGATCCAAAGCAGGCTCCATACTGACAGCAGAAAGTCCAATGCGGGGCTTGAACTCAAGAACTGTGAGATCATGACTTGAGCCGAAGTCGGATGCTTAACTGATTGAGCCGGGGGCCCCTTCACCTGCTCTCTTAAAGCTTGCGTATTGAACTTCATACATACATAGGTAACAGGAAGTTCAAGTAAAAGATGAGAGTCCCAAGTAAACTGTCAAATTCAACAGCAGAAGAAAAAAAAAACCCTTTTATTGTAAAATGAGTTTGTTAAGTTACCTGAAGTACTTGGATCATTTCTTTAGTCTTTTCAAGGCATTTATTTGATTCATTAACTTGTGCTTGAAGTTTTGCTCCTAGGTCATTAGTCATCTCAAGTTCTTTCTGCAGCTTTATAATCTTGCTTTCCTTGTGCATAGCACTTTCCTTAGCTTCACGCAGTGAAGTTTCCAACTCCTGAATTTTCTGTGAGAAAAAGCACACATAAATAAGGTATGCCATGAAGGCAGAATCACAGAATATAAGTTTAAGACAAAGACGATCATATACATAGGTATTAATTTTTCAGATTGCATTAAGAAAAGATAGAAGAGAAACCAAATGTCACTCAATTTACACATGTATTATTTCCCTTATTTAGAAGTTGATGATTTTTGGATTAAAAAAGGCCCAAATTTTATATTACAAGGTTTAGTGTTTATCTTATTTACTGGTTAGTACAGTGCTAAGCATATTAAAAAGGCACTCACATTTTAAATTAACAGCACTTAAAGAAAGTACACCCGTTAACTGACTCTTTAAGTAATGCATATAACATAGCTTTCCCTTTATTTTTATTATCTAATTTTAAAATTAAAAAATACAAGCATGTGGAAAAATTCAAAGGCATATAATGAAGGGGAAGTTCCCCCATCTCAGAACCCGAGCTGACCTGGTAACAATGACTACTAAACTCTTTCAAGTGTATCCTTCTAGAAATTTTCCATGCCTATTTAAGTGCTTGTGAGTACACAGTTACAAAAGAGTCAGTCATACACAGAGTAGGAACATACTGAATATATAGTTGTTTTTTAAAAAATATTTATTTTTGGGGCGCCTGGGTGGCGCAGTCGGTTAAGCGTCCGACTTCAGCCAGGTCACGATCTCGCGGTCCGGGAGTTCGAGCCCCGCGTCAGGCTCTGGGCTGACGGCTCAGAGCCTGGAGCCTGTTTCCGATTCTGTGTCTCCCTCTCTCTCTGCCCCTCCCCGTTCATGCTCTGTCTCTTTCTGTCCCAAAAATAAATAAACGTTGAAAAAAAAAAAAGTTTTAAAAAATATTTATTTTTGAGAGAGAGACAGCGAGTGCACAAGTGGGGGAGGGGCAGAGAGAGAGAGGAGAGAAAGAGAGAACGAGTCTCAATCAGGCTCCTTGCTGTCAGCGAGAGAGCCCAATTCAGGGCTCGGTCCCATGAACCGAGAGATCATGCATGACCTGAGCCCAAATCAAAAGTCAGACATTTAATGACTGAGTCATCCCAGTGCCCCAATTCTGTTTCTTTTTAACTTGATAATATACTTTCCAGATATTTCCATTAACAACACATAGAGATCTCTCCACGTTTTTGTTTTCATTGATACATACATCCTGTCTTATAGAGGTATTGTAAATTAGCTAACCCATCAACCACTAGTGAACATCTAGGTTATTTCCAGTTTTTTTCAAATACAAAAATACCTGAATTTAAATACCTGAGTTTGTTCATATTTGTAAGATTATTCACCTACACACACATGCAGGATTTCCTAGAAAATGTTTGTTTTTGGCCTATCTAGAATTTATTTTTGTTTAAATGAGTGAGGTAGGAATCCAGATTTATTTTTTTCCAGGTGGCTAGCTGGTAGTCTGGAATGAAACATGCAGTAAACCATCTTTTCCCCACCGAGTTGGTGGTTACCATTATCAAACACTGAATTCTCATCCTTACTTGGGTGTACTGATGAACTCTACTCTGTTCCACTGCTCCATGTGTCTATTTCCATATCGTATCAAACTACTCTATGCTACTCTAATTTGGCATGATTACCAAATTAATAATATATCATTTACTATTGGATAGGGTATTTCCTGGGGTCACTGAAGATGGATATTTCTTCTGTTTCTTTATTGCTTTGGTAGATGGGCTTAATATTTCGGCTATTTTTGTCTCCACCAACTGACTGAGGTCTGTAGTGATTAGCAAATCGATAAACTGTACCAGTGATCTTCTAGTTTCCACTGGTAATTGATTATTAAATTAGTGGCTGACGTTTTATTCTGAGTATTTATTTTGCTCAAGATGATAAATTATAATTTCCTCTTAGGTTCTTCACGAAGTCATTTTGTGTGCTAACAACATAAAACAGTATGCCTGCTTCACAGATTCCCAAGTAAGGCTAGGTAACAAAATAACTGAATCATTCAAAAAAATTTTGTTTTACTAATTCTTTATTTTTGAGAGAGAGACAGAGCATGAGTGGGGGAGGGGTAGAGAGAGAGGTAGACACAGAATCCCAAGCAGGCTCCAGGCTCCGAGCTGTCGGTACAGAGCCCGACATGGGGCTCAAACCCAAAAGCTGTGAAATCATGACCTGAGCTGAAGTCAGACACCTAACCGACTGAGCCACCCAATGTACCCTATAACTGAATCATTCAAATAACGTATTGATTCTTGGATACAGATTAATCTATATAAGACATCTGTTATATTTTTTTAGGCTTTTCCATTTTATTTATTTATTTATTTATTTATTTATTTAGTTAGTTAGTTAGTTAGTTAGTCAGTCAGTTAGTTTTTTAACTTAACAGGTTGGTGTTCTTCCTGGTTCGCATTTTTATTTTTTTTTAACATTTTTATTTATTTTTGAGACAGAGAGAGACAGAGCATGAACAGGCGAGGGGCAGAGAGAGAGGGAGGCACAGAATCCAAAGCAGGCTCCAGGCTCCGAGCTGTCAGCACAGAGCCCGACGCAGGGCTCGAACTCACAGACCGCGAGATCATGACCTGGGCTGAAGTCGGACGCCCAACCGACTGAGCCACCCAGGCGCCCCAGGCTTTTCCATTTTAATTTACATATACACAAACCAGTTAATTAGAGAAAAGCTGAATTGCACTAACCCTCTAAGCTAGTTCTATATACAGACACAGATTATAGTTTAATAAAAAGTTACACGATTGTGGGGTGCCAGGGTTGCTCAGTTGGTTAAGCAGCTGACTCTTGGTTTTGGCTCAGGTCATGATCTTGCATTTTGTGAGTTCGAGCCCTGCATCAGGCTCTGTGCTGGCAGTGTGAAGCTGCTTGGGATTCTTTCTGCCTCCCCCCTCTTCCTTTTTCTCTGTCCCTCCTCTGCTCATGCCTCTCTCTTTCTGTCTCAAAATAAATAAACTTAAAAAAAAAATTACACAATTGAAGAAATTTATAATGTATAATAATAGCACCTGAGAAGGTATATGTATCTTTAATCAAATTAAGCTATGAGTTACTTCTGCTTTATAATTCAAAGGGAAGATCTCATGTAATGTATAGTTCTGTAGTTATTTGAGTGATAGCCACAATAGGACTATACTTAAAGAACAAGCCCATTGGGGCACGTGGGTGGCTCAGTAAGTTGAGCATGTGACTTCAGTTCAGGTCATGATCTCATGGTTTGTCAGTTTGAGGCCCACATCAGGCTCACTACTGTCAGTGCAGAGCCCGCTTCTGATCCTCTCTCCCCCTCTCTTTGCCCTTTCCCTGCTCATTCTCTCTCTCTCAAAAATAAATAAAACATTAGAAAAATAAATAAAAACAAGCCCATCACACACACAAACATGGCCCACATTCCCTAATACATTTGATACTATAATTTTGCTCTGAAGTGTTACATAAAATGCATCTTTAACTCTGATCAATCTGCAGACTGAAAAATGTCTCATAAGAAATCACATACCTCTGTGGTTAGTTGTGTGGCTCTTGATGTAACATGAAGATTCTTATTGTCTTTGGTAACAGCATTAACAAGGACACCAGATGTCAGGGAGATCTTCAAAGTTTGGTAGTTTTTAAATAGTTGTTCATTTTTCTCTTTCACTGATTTCAGGTCATGTTCCCATTCTTTAGTTATGGTAGCATTTCTTTCTTCAAACTCTGTAGATTCATTCATTATAGCCTATTGAATAGTAAAACACTATTATAACTCTAAAATGAATTACATATAAAAATACTATGAAAACTACTAGAATTCTAGGACAAGGCATATGCTGAAATTCATTATTTAGAACACTCTAGAACAGTACTTTAAAAGAATGTGAACATTCTTTGTGGTTTGCATCAGTTTCTAAAACTACAGAAGATGCTGGATATTGATGAGAATAAAAAATAAGGACTGGAGAGGATTCATATTGATTTGCAAGATGATAAACCTCACTTTATTAAGTCAGTGCTAACATTATGGAGAGGAATCTGCAAAACTGTACAGGTTAAAGTTATTATGTTTTATGACATTTGCTATTCAATTTTTTTAATGTTTATTTATCTTAGAGAGAGAGTGTATGCAAGCATGTATGCACGAGAGGGGCAAGGGGGGCAAAGGATCTGTCAGCACAGAGCCTGATGCAGGGCTCAAACTCATGAACCGGGAGATCATACCCTAAGCCAAAGTCAGATGCTTAACCGACTGTGCTCCTGTATTATGATATTTATAATGTCCTATATAAACATTAACTGACACGTAAAAGCAGAGCATATTCAATAAACTCAACAGCAATCTATTTTCCAGTTTCATTTCAAATCTCAATGTTTATAGGGAAAATAGTTCACTGACTTTTGGTAATCTGAAAATCTTATATTTCTGTGCAGGAAATAATAGTCAATCAATACCTTTGCTAACTCTGAAATTACTCATATCTTTTTACTTCCTAATTGTTATGGGACGTATTTTTGCTCTCATCATGAATGCCTTATTGGTTTTATCTATAACTTTGTGGCTTTAAGGCACTTCTATCAGACTTGGATGCTAACTTAGTTGTGTTCTTGCTGGCACCCTGGACTTTCCTGGGTTCTAGACTACTGGCCTCACACCATACGAAGTTATCATTTCCTATTCTCAGGGTGCTGGAAGAAGCCACATATCTATGCTCATCCACACAGTAGGAATCCCTACTTTCTACTCCCAACTAGGCCCTCAATATTAAAAGAAAAACACTGAATTATACGGGGATTATCTTAGCCAAATATTGGTTTTATATTTTTCCCTGTTGATTGTGGACTCTTCCCCTGCCCCCGCCCTGAAATAGCTCATACTATTCTGCTAGCTTGAGTTATTTAACAAATGGGAATGACTCTCCATAGGAAGACAGCTTTTGAAAATATTATCTATACTTCAGTGTGATTTAAGTATAGTTTCCAGATGAAATTAAAGTGTCAAAAAAGAACTGCCCAAACATATGAAATATGAAATTAATCTTAGAAGCTGTGATGTTCATCTAGCTCCCCTTGCTCCAGTTCCATGTACACAAGCAACTTTCTGATTACTGTGTATTTTACCAGGTATAGAGATAGGGATTACTTCAGAAAGCAGAATAAGGGGTGTCTGGGTGGCTCAGTCGGTTGAGCCAACTTCGGCTCAGGTCATGATCTCATGGTCTGTGAGTTCAAGGCCGTACTTGTGCTGACAGCTCGGAGCCTGGAGCCTGCTTGGCTCTCTCTCTCTGCCCTTCCCCGTTTGTTTGTCTTCTCTTCCCAAAATAAATGACACAAAAATTAAAAAAAAAAAAAGAAAGCAGAATGATATCCTCATCAATGGAAAGTACAACAAATTAACAAAAATGATCTTCAGCAATATTGGAGTTCTTGTGAATCTACACTGAGTCAGTCACCCCGAACAGAGGTCCATATCTCTTAAACTGAGCGAAGGATCTGTAAAGCGCATATGGTAGCACAACATGAAAGAATGAGGCCTCCGCCAAGGAGTTGGCCAGGCTTGTCTATGGCATGACCACAGGTGCTGCCTGCAGCCCTTGGAAAACAGGCCTGTTGCCCATCCTGCCTGAGGCCACTGGGGGGAAAAGGGCCTGGGGCACTGGGCTGGCAGGCTGAGGAGAAACTGAGAAAAGGAAAGAGGCATTCAAGATTTCAGTAAGGGACATACACCCCAAGATTTTATCCTTTTTTTTTTTTTTTTATTTGAGAGTGGGAAAGCAAGCACAAGCAGGTAAGGAACAGGCGGCTACATGGGGGGGGGCAGGTGGGGCAGATTCCAAGCAGGTTCCTGGTTGTCAGTGCAGAGTCCGAGGTGGGACTCGAACTCACAAACCATGAGATCATGACCTGAGTGAAACCAAGAGTCGGATATTTAACCAACTAAGTCTCCCAAGCCTCCTAATTTTATCTTCCTTACAAGTGTCAGTTGATTATCTTTAATTATCTTAAAGAAGCATACATAACATATAAGAGGAAGAACATGTTTTACATAATTTTTTCCAAATAAAAAAATAAAGTATATACAAGTAAATTACAGAAAGCATACCTAAGATTAAGTTGTTCTAAGTCTTTTTTAAGAAAGAGGTGGAAAAATCAGAGCACACAACAAAAAAGAATGAGGTAGCACAAAAGAAAATCATTACTTACAATTATCTTGTTATTATAGAAGTTATTCACTTGACAAATCCTATCATTTTCTTTCTGGATGCCATTTTTAAACTTTTCTGTATCAAAATGAGTATTCAACCATTCTTCCAAAAACTGGGTCATTTCTTTCCTATTACTTAGCACTTGTTGAAATTCAGCCTTTATGCAGTGGAAGTCATTTTCTGAAAGATCTTTGAGAATTTCCTGTGTGAAAAATAAGTATTTAATCACCTGGACATTAGGAAAGTTTTCACCTAAATATCATTTAGATATCATAAAGGGGGGAAAATACCTTACTGAACTTTCATTCTTAATATTTTGAAATAAATATAATTCTAATTTATTCTAATTACATTAGAAATGTAATTCTAATTTAAAACTTTATTCTAGTGATTTGAATAATACATTTTTGGCAGTATAGGCCATCTAAGAGGAATGTCTGTGAATTCTGCGTGTTAGAATTAACTGTCAAAACTGTCTGTGACCAATAATCACAATATACGATGTGCTTCTGCATGTAGCTTTCCTGTGCACTCAGGTCTCACATACATGTTGGGAGTTGGATGCCAGCCTCACACTGCTGGGTGAGAGCAAGGCACTCCATGTGGAGTTACTGCAATAAAAATGTTCCTGACTCCCAGCCACAGATCTAGGTTTAGAAAGCATTTGCAAACTTATTCTGGGGTTCTATGAATTCCCACTTGTTGGTACTAAATCTATTTCCTGTATCTGTGGAATCCTGAAAAAGGAGATTAGTCCATTATGTGACACTCTTTACATCTAGCCACTTGTCACCCTGCAACCTAGTTTTAATTTCTGGAAAATGAAAAATGGCTCTAAGCACATGGAAAGGTACCTTCTCTATGTGACATAAAGGCCTAAAATCTAATGAAACCATTTAAATAAATGATACCTCAATATGTAGATCCATATTCTGGCTCAATTTAAGGTCTGTTAATTCTCTGGATGGCACATCATAATCTTGTTGAAGGTGTTGTATTTTAATTAGCAGTTCATTTTGCTTTTCCACTTCATCAATAAAAAACACTTCAAATTTATTGATGGATTCATGGTGTTCTTCCTTTATCTTTGTAACATGGCTTAACACATACTTACAGAAAAAACATTAAACAAATTGGGAAATGAACTTTTTATCACATTTAGAGGAAGTTTTAAACCCTCAAGACTAAGAGGTGGGATGGCATCTCTTGTTTATCTATATCCTCTGGTAAGTGAGGAAGAAAGAAAGAGCCTCTCTCTCTATCCCCAGTTTTCTCCTCTCAGTATCTTGGGAGAAGAACTTCCAGACTTCAAGTTCCTTACTTCGGACTCCCTACTGGATACATCTCATAGATGTTCAACAATTACCTTACATTCAATGTTAAAATGTAACATAATCTCTTTCCCTAGAAACTCACCTTTCTCTACCAATCACCCATGTTTCCCAGCTAGAAGCCTGAGATTCATTTTCAACATCCTGTCCTGCATACCTTGATTGGGTAACCAATATGGGTATGCCAGCCTCAAGATGTACTTTCTACATGTAATTAGATGTTTGGCATCAAGGTAACAATAATTTGAATGCCATGTGTTCCATGGACCTCTTGGATAAATTCTGGATATCTGATTGCCTGGATTTGTGGAAAAATTTCAGGGCCTGGGGCACCTGTGTAGCTCTGTTGGTTGAGCACCCAGCTCTTGATCTTGGCTCAGGTCATGCTCTCATGGTTAGTGGGATCAAGCCCTGTGTCAGGCTTTGCGCTAACAGTGTGGAGCCTGCTTGGTTTTCTCTCTCTCCCTCTCTTTCTCTGCCCTTTCTCTGCATGCACACACTGCCTCTTTCAAAATAAATAAACTTTAAAAAAAAAAGGAGTATCAGGGCCTGAGAAGCAAACTATCTAGGAAAGACAAATACCAACTCCCTCCCTCCTTCCTCAGTCTTCCATTACTTCTTAACCTCTTACAATCTGGCCCTTCCTAACCACTCAACTAAAACTGCTCTGAGAAAGTCACCAATGAGCTCTATTATCAATCAACAGCTTGAGGGCATCTGTTCGGTTCATATTCTGGCTGCGTGAAGTATCTGACACCCTTGACCACTTTATCTTTGACGTGTTGTCCTCTACTGACTTGAGCAACAGCACTTTTGCTTGATTTTTTTCTGTTCCTTTGACGTTTCCAGCCTCAAACCCACATGTTGCTGTCTTTTCTGCTACTGACTGGAAAATTTATCTTTTCTAGATCTCTCTTCTTATCCCATGGCTCTTATTCTTCTATTATGGTTTCTGGGTGACCTTACTCACATATGTTATATTATCTAGCAACTATAAGCTGATGAATTCCAAACCTTTATTTTTTTTTTTGTTTATTTTGAGAGTGAGCAAGCACATGTGAGTGGGGGAGGGGCACAAAGAGAGGGAGAAAAAGAACCCTAAGCAGGCTCTATGCCATCAGCACAGAGCCCAAAGTGGGGCTCGATCTCATGAACCGTGAGATCATGACCTGAGCCAAAATCTAGAGTCAGACGCTTAACCAACTAAGCCACACAGGCATCCCAAGCTGCTGAATATTTCTTTAATTTCTTTTGTCCTCCCCATCCCTGTGAATCTTTTTCTGGTAAAAGAGTCACCTATAGTATCTCATCTGACCACTGTAACTGCTTTTTGTCTCTTCTCTCTGCCACAAACTCATTGTTTTTCTATGGTGAAGTAGCTAAAATGGTATGATTGTGCTACTGCCACTACTTAAAATAACTGTCCAGTGGCTCTCCATCATCTGCAAAATGGACTGCAATCACTGTTGCTCAGTCCAGCTTCTACTGCAGTCTCACCTTCTGTGACTCTTTATCTGGTATGTCACACAATCTTCACATACCTCTATCACCACACTTAGACTACCTGCTTATATATCTGCTTCATGCACTAGACCAGGAGATAACTGAGATGTTATTCCTACCTGTCTCCCGAGCACCTTGGCAGTATCCAGATTCACAGGGAGAGCTCAAGTTTTGTTGAATGAACAGGTCCTAGATGAATACTGGATTTTGCACATACTATGCTGAGACCCATATAACCCTTAATTTGGTAGTAAATACACTAAATAGCAAATATGCCAACTCCCAAAGTAGGACTTAGATATACTGATGTTAAAACCAATTATAGCAGTATTTACAAAGATATTACTAAGAAACGTGGTACCTGAAGTTTCTTCATGACTCTGTGGAATTCCATTGAACCTCTCTGGTTTGCAGTAAGAAGTTTTTGAATTTGTTTGATTTGTGGATACGGAAGTGAGAGGTTTGCTCTCACTCTAATTGAAAGCTCTTTTTGGGTTTCAACTTCCTTCTCCAAGTCAAGGGATAGTCTATCTAAGCACTCATAATGATTATACATCTCTGAGTATCTCTTCAGAAGCTCCTAAGGAAAATTAGAATTCATTTAACAATTCATTCTAATGTAACAAAAATAGTCCTTGCCCTAGAATTTTAACAAAACTTATGCTTAATATTTTCTGTTATGCAGAATCAAATTAAGATGTTTGTGTTAAAAAAAGGGGGGAAGGAACTCTTATTGAATTTGGATTACAGAAATACTATTTAATTATTGTGAAAATTTAAAAATTTTAAATATAACACAGAAAACCAGAAACAATCCCTATTAACATTTTGATACATTTTCTTTTAGTTCTTTATGCATTCATGATTTAAATGACCATCTCAAAGTCTAAAGATAAATTTGAGTGAATTCAATCTAGTATATATTATAGTTCAAGACTGAGTGCTGGCTCATGTTCACAGCAGGCAGTGTGAGTTTGCAGGTAAAACAAGTGACGAAAAATCGAACTATTTGTCAGCTTGGTGCAGCCTCTCTGCACATTTCTATTTCTCTGCCCAGAATCTGAGTTTTCGAACCTTTTATCAGTTAGAGTTCAGGTTCTATCTCTGCTACTTCCTGACTACAGATATCATTGAGCCATTTTCCCAAAAACAAAACAAAGACTATAATGAGTCCCACAAACTTTTCTAGGGGAAAGTAAATATGATATCCATATCTATGTAATCTATGAAATATACACAGACATTATAGCTTAAGGGAAATAAAATTATATTTGTAAAAATGTTTCTAAACTCAAATTCTAAACTTACACTTGATTTCATGTCCTGATTCTACCAACCTACTAGCTATATGACCTTGAGCAACTACTAAACTTCCTCTCCAAGCCTCAGTGTCTTTGTAAATGGAGCAATAAAACGTATCTCATGAGATAAAGAACTGATATAGCGCCTAGCATATGGTAGACACCCAACAAGCCTGGTCTGTAAGTTCAAATGATCAGAGGCCAAGCAGGGGACACACTGGTCAAAGCGCAGGTGGAAGAACACAGTAGTACATATTGCTAGAGTCATGTAACAAATAACATGTTTAATTCAGGGTGCTAAATAATAAAACAAGGGGCTTCTGACAATAATGAGCTTCCTTTCTAATAACTTAAGGAAAAGCTAGCTGTACATTCATTTCCTGCCTTTGGTCCTAGTATGAATCATGTTACAGTATGAAGCAGCACTGTGTAATCATTCATTTGTACTTTTAATAAATACATGTTCCATTAGGAATGTGCTAAGTGATATAGCCACACAAAACACACAACATCTTTAGGGATCTTGCATTCTAATTGGAACGAGACAGTAAATCCTGTTGGCTTTTCCCCTCAATATACATTTAGAATCCAAGCATTTCTCACTACTCCACTGATTCTTCTCTGGGCTGAGCCGCCATCAACTTTGCCTGGCTTATTGAAATTTTTCTCTCAGATGCTCTTCCTGCTTCCACTCTGTTTCCAACACAACAATCAGAGTCATCCCTCTAAAATGTAAGTCAGATAATGTCTCTCTCGTGGTCAGAACTTGTCAATAAATCTCCATCTCACTCAGACTAAAACCCAAAGATCTTTCAAGGCTGCACAGCCTCCATCTTCCTCATGAACTCTCGGACCTCATTTCTTATTAGCTTTCTCCCTTGTTGGATGTTCCTGGAACCCACCAGGCAGGCTTTTGCCTCAGGAGCTTTTACTTGCTATTTTCTCTTCTTATCCCGTTCTTCCCCCAGATAGCTATGTGGCTCAATCCTTTCTCTTTCGGGTTTTTGCTCAAATATCATCTTTCCAGTGGGGCCTTAAAATCACCCCCCCCCCCCATTTTGTGTGTTTATGTACATACATATGCACATACTTGCACACCTATACTAGATTAGAAAGTTGAAAAAAACTTTGAGCACTATCTACTCATTCCCCAGAGGCTCCATTCTAGGCCTCTGGAAGGGTACCAATATTTATTTGTAATTTTAACATGGGACACTTACTTTTATCCTAGAGCACTTGTCTCTCAGGCTTTCTGTGAGGTGGTGTTTCCCATTACATGGCAACTTTTTTTCATATTTTACTACCTCTTTATGGTTCTGTTGGTCCTGTTTTGATACAAAGAAATAAACAAGGCGTCAACTATAACTACATTCACATTTAATGTCTATATACTTGTCCACTTCCATTTTTTCACATCATTTCAATAATGGAATTATAAACTTGTAACTCAAAAACAAAGTGAAAAATGGTCAGAAAATGAGTAACAGTACCACTAAGTAGTAAGTGGCCTTGACTCACTAAGAAAAAATGTGGAAAAACCACATATTTTTTGGAGATAGGATTTATCCCCGTAACCATCACAACTGCAAATTAGATTTTAGGTTTATATCTGGTTCCTACTATTCCAAGTCTCCGAATTAGAATTAGTCTCTGAATTGCTGCCAAATAATACGCTACCCAAACCACCTGAAATATCTCTGTTCACTCTTCCCAGCTCCTTGGAATAGAAAATGCATATCCTGTTACATCTTGGACTTCTGATTCGAAGTACAACCTAAAACCTTTTCTCCCACTTATTTACTACAGTACTTAGAAGAATGATTGTTTAATAAATATTTGTTGAATGAATTAAATCTTCTTATAAAGGGCCCACATAACGACGATTCCCAAGGGTCTCATGTTTCTATTAATGTTGCAGATGACATGGTCTTCTGCTCTGTTGTTGAATTATGAGAATAAAAAAGATTTCTTACAGATTTCATATGATTTCTTATTTGTCTGAATTTTATGTTATTTTCTTGAGGGTTCAATTGGGCTTTTTAAGACATGTGATTCTAAACACCTATAGTCCTACTGGATGAACTTCTTTCCTCTGTGTATCTGGCCACTTCTCTAACTGAGGGACGAGACGAGCCTATGCCTAAAACTCTGTCATGTAGAGGCAGAGAAATGGCGCACTTACTCTTCTACAGATCTAGTCCTTCAAATATTTCTTCCTTAAGGATAATGCCATTTCCTGGTGAAAAAGCCCTTTTAAAAATTACATTAAAGAAAATAGTCTGCTTTATGTAACAAATATTCTTAAAAATAAATAAAATGGTATTTTCTAAAAAATATTTTGGCTTCTTTTAAAACTGTATTTTCTTTTGTGTGAAAAATTATAGTAATAGTTTTCCCATTATCCTTCCCTGTATGTAGAAGTTTCCAAAAAGAAAAGAAAAAAAAAAAAAAAAACCCAAAACAAAAAACAAATCCCCAAGCCCCACAACAAAAAACCCAAATTGTTCCCCTTGTCAAGAAAGCTTGATTCTTACAGTTACTAGATAAGGAAGATTCTGAACTCACTCTAGCTATCATTTCTCTTAACGTTTCTCTGAATTGGTCTCTTTCCATTTTCAGAGACTCTTTTATCCTCCTTAGCTCATCTCTTTCCTCAGCTACAATTCTGAGTTCTTCAAGTCTTTTATGAAGTTTCTTAGTCAAGTGTAAGTTATCCACTTCCACACTTTGCATAGATAAAGTTTGGGCCTCAAACTGCTGCTTCAATCGTTCCATTCTGTTTATATTTTTATGGGTTTTATTGACATCTTCTTTCATTTTAAGAAGTTGAAGCTCTTTTTTCTGAAGTTCTTGTATCTTGAGATAATTATAAAACAAGTTAGAATGCAAAAAGAATTCCTGTGTCTATTTGTTATATATGTACATCTATTTCTATCTCTAAATATCTGTATTTATATTCTTTCTCATTCCCCAAGTGATTTTGGACACAGTTACTCCCCAAAGAACAAAATGACATGTACCTTTTTCTGTAATTCATCTTTAGATTTATTTAAACTCTTTTGAATATTTGAAATCTGAGTTGTCTTTTCTGAAACTCTCTGCCTGAATTTATCAATAGTTTCTTGGTATTCTTTCAAATGCATATGGACAACTTTTAGTTCTTGTTGTGTTTCTAGATCCTTCATTATTAGAAGAAATTAAGAAATATTATGATGTAAAGGCACATTATCTTTTCTTAATGATGAACTAGTTAAACAAAATCTTAAAAAATGCATGCTCCCAGTTAAAAACAAGCAGCACAGCACTCCCAAATGAGAGCAGTACAGAAGGCCATAAAGTCAAGTCCCTGTCTCCAGCCTCACCCATCGTAGCTAGGTTTCCTGGTGAACTCTGCCAACTGCTCTTTCTCTCATACCACTTGGACATCATTCTACATCACTATCACAGAAAGAGGGCCCTCTTCTCATGCTAAGTACTCCATCATACAGATGAACCCCACTTAGCCAGTGCCTTATTAGTGGACACTTGGATTGCTTCCAGACTTGTCAGCACAGACAACGTTGCAGTGAGCGCTGTTGTATTTCTGCCCAAATGTGTGAATATATTGGTAGGATAAATTCCTACAAAGCGGAATCGCAGTAGCAGATATATACGCTGATAAATCTTTAATAAGGCATTGTCAAACTGTCTCCCTGAAAGTTTATAACATTTACAGTTTCACCAACAGTTATTATTTATTTCCAAAGAAGGAAGCTTCTTATACTAAAAACATGTTTATTGGACAGGTAGAAAGAGTCCAACTCACTCTAGCTATGGTTTTCTGTAGGTCTTCCTTGAGCTGGTCTCTCTCCAATTTCAGATTATCTCTTTCTTTCATTATAGATTTCATTTCTTCAAGGTTTTCATGAAGCTGCTGGGCCAAATTTAAGTTCTCCATTTCTATTTTATCCAGAGTTAAACTTTGGTCCTTGAATTGTTTCTTTAATCGCTCTATTTCAGACATTTTTTTCTGTGTCTCACTGACATCTTCCTTTAACTTAAAAAGTTGATGTTCATTTGCCTTAAGTTGCTGAATCTTAAGATAAGCATAATATAACATGTTAGGATACAGACAGTTTTTAAGGGAAGGATAAAAAATAGTTTCGAAATTAAGACAGTTTTCCCATGTCACTCATTAATATTTTGCATAATTCCACACAAAACTTATTTTCTTTTGAAATATAATATACATAAATACACTAATCTTAAGTGTATTGCTAAATTATTCTCCACATATGTATACATCTATATAATTACAACCCAGATTAAAATATCAAACATTTCTAGCACCCCTTAAGGTTGTGTGTGCCCCCTCCTAGAGTTAACCACTATTCTGAACTGTTTTCATCCTAGATGAGTCTTGCCTGCTTTTGAAGTTAAAAATCACGGGGCGCCTGGTTGGCTCAGTCGGTTAAGCGTCCGACTTTGGCTCAGGTCATGATCTCATAGTCCATGATCTCGCAGTCCGTGAGTTCGAGCCCTGCATCAGGCTCTGGGCTGACAGTTCAGAGCCTGGAGCCTGTTTCAGATTCTGTGTCTCCCTCTCTCTCTTACCCTCCCCCATTCATGCTCTGTCTCTGTCTCAAAAATAAATAAATGTTAAAAAAAAAATTAAGAAAAAGAACTGTCTTTAAAAAAAAATCACAATGTATTTATCCATTTTCCTGTTGACAGGCATTTCACTTGTTTTCCATTTTTTGCTGTTATGATTAGAACTATTATGAACATTCTTGTACACAGCTTTATGTGAAAGTATGCACTCTTTTCTCTCAGGTACATATCCAAGAAATAGAAATACTGAGCCATAGGCAGGTGTATGTTCAGCATTAGTAAAAATTGTCAGGATGTTTTCAATGTGGTTAAACCATTTTACATCCCCATATGAGTTTAGGCACGAATAAATCAAATACCCAGGGGCACCTGGGTGGCTCAGTCGGTTAAGTGTCCAACTTCGGCTCAGGTCATGATCTCACGGTTCGTGGGTTCGAGCCCCGCATTGGGCTCTGTGCTGACAGCTCAGAGCCTGGAGCCTGCTTTGGGTTCTGTGTCTCCCATTCTCTGCCCCTCCCATGCTTGTTCTCGGTCTCTCTCTCTCTCTCTCTCTCTCAAAAATAAATAAACGTTAAAAAATATATAAATTAAATCAAATACCCAAACAAGCACCTTCTTCATACCTTTTCTTGTAATTTAGCGTTTGAATTTTCTAAATCCATTTGCATATTTGATATTTCATCTGTCTTCTCAGAAACAATGCCCCGGAGTTTATCAATAGTCTCCTGGTGCTCTTTCACATGCATGTGAGCAATTCTTAGTTCCTCTTGTTTTTCTAGGTCCTTTGTCATTAGAGAAATTTTAAGAATGGTGACATAGCTTACTTAACATTAACTAGTATTTTTTTTTTTTATAAAAGTGATATTTTCTTAGTAAAAATAATAAAACTATTACTTCTTACGCTACATCTTAGATGTTAGAAAGTTACAAGCTTTCCCTTCATCCCTGTCCCTGTCCTCACCTCCCCACAACCTACTCCTACTTTCCAGAGGCAAATACACGATACATATACTATTCTACAGCTTGCTTTTCCCTCTAAGTTATTTGGGCTTCCAAATTAGAACATCCAAACCTATTTCATTTTTTTTTTTTAATTATGTTGCACAGTATTCTGACGTACTGTTCATATTTACCCAGTTTCCTTCTGATGGATATTTAGATTGTTTCCTAATTTTTATTACAAATTGCTACAATGGACACCTTGTGGTGTGTGTGTGTTTGTGTATGTACATAAATATACATGTAGGATGAAGTCCACAAAGAAAATACTGCTAACAGAATTAAAAATTTTGAAGAACAGTACCAAATTACCCGCCTTTGTAAAAGGTTCCATCAGTTCACTCACATCAACAGTGCCACTCACATCAAAGCACGGTTCCCTGCTGTCAGAAAAACATACATTTACTCACCAGCAGAGGAAGAGTAACTTACTTTAGCCTCTTTTTCTCTGAGGCTTTCTCTGAGCTGGTCTCGCTCCATCCTAAGGGTTCCCTCTGCTCTTCTTAGGCCATCTCTCTCCTCAGTAACACATTTTATTTCTTCAAGGTTTTCATGAAGTTTCTGACTCAGCCTTAACTTCTCATTTTCGACACTTTCCAGGGTTGAATTCTGGGTCTCTAATTGCTTCTTCAATTGCTCTGCTTGATACATATTTTCTCTGAGATCATTTTTTACCTTAAGAAGTTGACGTTCTTTCTCCTGAAGTTCTTGGATCTTAAGATAATCATATAATAAGTTAAGATACAGATTGATATTAATAAATAATACTTTCTTTTTTTAAAAATTTTTAATGTTTATTTATTTTTGAGAGAGAGAGAGAGAGCCAGTGCAAGCAGGGAGGGGCAGAAAGAGAGGGAGACATAGAATTTGAAGCAGGCTCCAGGCTTTTGGGCTGTCAGCACAGAGCCTGATGCAGGGCTTGAACCCACAAACTGTGAGATCATGACCTGAAGTCGGATGCTTAATGGACTGAGCCACCCAGGCACCCGATAAATAATACTTTCTAAATTAAGCAGGCAAATCTTTGTCTATGATTTTAGGCTAATTCATATCCTGTTTCATTACAAAAAAGACCTAATGTAAACTCTCAAATAAAAACCATACCTGTACTTTTAAGGCAGTATCTGTGTTTTCTAAATCCGTTTGCATATTTGATATTTCATCTGTTTTCTCAGAAATAATGTCCCGGAGTTTATCAATAGTTTCCTGGTGTTCTTTCACATGCATGTGAGCAATTCTTAGTTCCTCTTGTTTTTCCAGGTCCTTTGTCATTAGAGAAAGGAAAATGATTTTTTAGAGTGACAAAATTCAAACAATGTGTGGAAAGATAGAGGGTAAGAGGTAAATATGCCTCCCACCCCCTTAGGCCTCATCCTCTAGTTACTCTTAAACATCAATACATGTTAGATACATCAATCCATAACTTACCCCTTTCCTTAAGAGGATACTTCCAAATCACCACCATGGCACTGCCTCATTCTTTATCCATGGCCTAGTACTCTATGGTCTGAGTTTGCTGCACTCATTAACCAGTCTCCTGCTAATGGACAGTTGGTATTTTCCCTGCTTTTGTGGTTTGCTTTGATTTGTTCTTACAACTTTCTGCAATGAATATTCTTCTACAGATATCTTTGCACAGTTGCATTACTGTGTGCAGGATAAGTGGCTACAACTGGGCTTTCTGGGTCAATGAATAAACGTATTGAAATATTTGGAAGATATTATCAAATATCCCCTCCTCCAACCTTGCCTAAGGTTGTACCAATTTTACACTCATACCAATCCTATCGCCCGTGGTTCTTTTAGGATACAGTGTCATATTTACTGGATGGGGGAAAAACAGTAACTCACTCTAATTACGGTTTCTCTCAGGTTTTCCTGGAGCTGGTCTCTCTCTACTTTGAGAGTCTCCTCTACACTCCTAAGATCATCTCTTTCTTTTGTAACAGATCTCATTTCTTCAAGGTTTTCGTGAAGTCTCTGAATTAACCTTACATTCTCCTTTTCTATATTTTCCAGAGTTGACTTTTGGGCCTCAAATTGGTTCTTCAAGTATTCTATTTCACACATTTTTTCCTGAGTCTCATTGACAGGCTTCATCTTTAGAAGCTGATGTTCTTTTTGCTGAAGTTCTTGCATCTGAGAAAACAACAAAACAAGTTAGGACACAGGCAGAAATTTTTAGGAAAAGGAGGAATTGTTTCTGAGTCAAGTGAATCATCTTTACATTTTATCTAATGTATGTAATATTTTCTTCCACAGGGATACAAGGAACACAATAATCAGATGTCAGTTTCCAACTTAATAAGACCTACCTTTTCTTGTGATACAGCATCTGAATTTTCTAAATCTTTCTGAATATTTGCTTCTTGATCTGTCTTCTTTGAAAAAGTCCTTGTACTAATGGTTTCCTGGTACTCCTTCAAAAGAATATAAGTAGTTTTTTAGTTCCTGTTTGATTTTCAGTCCCTTTATGATTGGATAGAAATTAATAAAGCAATAGTGAATATCACTGTTAACCACTTTACCACTATTTCATACCTAAAAAATCATTAGAATAAGGAAACTTACTTCAGTTACAATTTCTTTAATGTTTTTTTTGAGTTGGTCTCTCTCCATTTGAAGGGCCTCCTGCATCCTTTTCAGTTCATCTCTTTCCTTAATTATAATTTTTATTTTATCTTGACTTTCCTTAAGTTTCTCGGTCAACTGGAGCCTCTCGCTTTCTATACTTTGTAGTGATGAATCTTTGACTTTGAGTTGTTCCTTTAATTGCTCCAGTGCACTCATTTTCTCCTGAGTCTCACTGATTTCTTTGGTGGTAATAAATTGTTCCTGTTTCGCATGAAGCTCTTGGATCTTAAAATAATAATAAGTTAATAGCTAAAATATACATACACACAAATCATGCTTATATATATGTGTGTGTGTACACATATAATACATTTTAGTTTTTGAATGAAAAGAACTCACAATGTTCTCCATAACAATTTAGTATGCAAAAACAGTTTCTGTAATTCAGTTAGCTAGCTCCCTCAGGTTTTTTTCCTACACTTCCTTCACCCCCAATTTACCTTTTTCTGTAATTCATCATTAGTTATTTCTAATTCTTTTTGAAGGCTGGACAGCTCATTTTCCGTCTCAGAAAGATTCACTCTTAGCTTCTCAATAGTTTCCTCCTGTTCTTTCATATGACGATGAGCAACTTTCAGTTCCTCTTCAGTTTCCAGGTGCTTCATTATTAGAGGAGATGTTAAGAAATTTACAGAAACATTATAACCATTATATTCTCTTTTTTCCAAAGGTTTAGTTTTTACAAAAATATCTGCTTACAAAAGTAAAACAAAAAAAAAGCACATGGGGGATGGATGAAACTTACCTTAGCTATGATTTCCCTCATGTTTTCTTTGAGCTGGTTGCTTTCGGACTGAAGAACTTCTTGCAGCCTTTGTATGTTGTCTCTCTCCTTAGTTATACATTTCAGTTCATCACAACTTTCCTGAAGCCTCTCGGACATCTCGAGCTTTTCCACGTCCATTCTTTGCAGGGCTGACTCTGTGGCTTTGAGCTGCTCCTTCAGTTGCTCCATCTCGCTCATCATTTTCTCAGGTGCGCCGTCTTTTTCTTCCATATTGAAGGACCGTTCTTGTTTGTCTTGAGCCTCTCGGATCTTAAAAGAATAAAACAACAAGAGAATTGACATCCAAAGATACTTTATTTTACTTTCAGAGAAAAGAAATCAGGACAGTTTCTAAAACAAGTAAGTCAGGACTCAGTGGCTCATTACAGAGCATTCTTTCCACTCTCCCACTTGTCATCACTCAGGTACTGAACACTTCTTTCCTGAGGGCTCAGTGTGCTGTCAGTATCCTACCAGAGGTTAGAGATAAATTGGTAAATGAGACTTATATGATCCTTGCCTTTTTGAGATTTACACTTCAGAGGGAAAGATAGACATTATGCCAAATCTTACCAAACAGGGGTGCTGGGTTCTTGCAGGGTTATGTGGCAACCTAACCAACCCTGAGTGGTTAGGAAGGGCTTCCTGGGGGATGGAAAGCTTCGGTTGAGACATGAAGGATGACAGCAGTAGGTGGGCAAGGCAGTAGGGAAATGCTGCAGGCAGGGAGACCAGAACACCCAAAAGCCATGAGATGAGGAAGCACAATGATGGAGCATGATGAACAGGGGTAAGATGAACAGAAATAAGGCTGGAGACCAGCAAGGTCTGCGATCCAAGGCCTCATAGGCCACGTGAAGGATTCTGGTCTTTGGTTCAAGAGTAGAGATAGGTTATTAAAAGTTTATTTTATTTTATTTTATTTTATTTTTATTTTATTTTATTTATTTATTTTGAAAGAGAGTGAGAGAGAGAGCTGGGTCAGTGAGGAGAGACAGAATCCTAAGCAGGCTCTGCTCCCTCAGTGCAGAGCCCAATGCAGGGCTTGAACTCACAAAACGTGAGATCATGACCTGAGCTGAGATCAAGAGTCGGATGCTTAACTGACTGTGCCATCCAGGTGCCCCTATTAAAAGGTTTTAAGAACAAAGGATTGCTTGGGCTCAGAATGAGGAATGAATTAGAGAAGTATAGAAATGAATACTGGGAGACCAGTAAGAGGCTACTACAGAAAGCCAGGGACAGAAATAATGGTGGCTTGGATTAGTGTTGGCAATGAGGAGAGAAAGAGGGAAGATTTCTCTCTCCCTTTCTCTCTCTCTCTCTCTCTCTCTCTCTCTCTCTCTCTCTCTCTCTCACACACACACACACACACACACACACACACACACACCTTAAAATCAACAAGGTTTGGTGCTTGGATTATAAAGTGAGTGTGAGGAAAGGATATTGGGAAGGGTGATTCTCAGATTTCTGTCTCAGGTATTGAGGAAGTGCTTTATGAGATGCTACAGGAATAGACTTAAAGAAGGAAAGAAAATAGTTTTTCTGGCTTTATCCTTTCTTATAATTTAGCATTGCTTTTTCTAAATCATTTTAAATATTTAAGAAGACAGCTGTCTTCTCTAAAACATCTTCTCTCAATTTCAATAGATTTTTTTAGTATTTATGAGCAATTTTTAGTTGTTTCCAACCACTTCATAATTGAGACATTTAAAGAAAACACTGCAGTAATATTTTAACTATAACACAAGTGCTTCCTTTCCCAAAGACTTGATTCTTACAAAACACTTGTTAAATGGAAGGAAAGGACGAAACTTACTTTAGCCAAAGTTTCTCTAATGTCTTCTTTCAACTGGTCTTGTCCAGCCCGAACTGCTTCTTTTCTCATTCTAAGGTTGTCTCTTTCATCAGTTAGAGATTTTATTTCATCATGACTTTCTGGAAGTTTTTCAGTCAACCCAAGCTTTTCCATTTCTATGCATGCAGGGGTCATTGAATCCTTGGTTTTGGATTGTTTCCTTAATAGTTCCAGTTCATGCCCTGTTTCCTGAGTACTGCTGACTTCTTTCACATTAGGCAGTAGTTCCTGTTCCTCATGAAGCACTGGGATCTTGTAATATGCATGGAATACCAAGGTTACTATCTGGAGAGCATTATCATAATTTTTCAAATTTTTTAAAGATGAGAATACTGTCCCTAGAAATAAAAGTTATCTTGATCCCATGGCCTATTGTGGATCACAAACTCACAATTTATTCATTTTCTCTTGATTCCTACTAAAGCTATCCATGGCCTTTCTGCTAGTCACATTCTGCCGTAACTTTCTTTGTTTCCAGCTTACATCCAAAGTGAATCAATTCTTATACCTAACTAACACCGTTAATTCAGCCAGTTGCACACGTCTTCATTTTTATACTAGTTCTCAAAGGCTATAGGAGAAAAAACATTGTTTTTATTGAGATTTTATCTCAATAAATGAATGGTCCTTAATTCTCAGATGACCTCCCATGCCACTTCTCATATTCTTTTATATGTACAGACCATTTCCTATGGTCATTAGTGGTTCCATTAACTTTGCATATCATATTTCTGCATTTGTCCTGCTGGAATTGAAGGATTATTGTATATGCCCAAATTAGGGGGAGAGAAGAGTGTCTTATTCATATCCACTGTTTCAATGGCTGGTACATAGTGGCCTTTAACATATGTTGGTTCAGTTATCCCAGTGTTTCATTTTCTCTATAGCATTTGCCATTATCTCAAATTATCTTTTTCATTTGTTTGTTTATTTACCAATTAACTCTTTCCACTACAAAATAAGCTCTATGGTCACAGAAATTTTGTTCAGCTTGTTCCCATTTTATTTCTATAACCCAAGACCTTGCCTGACACATTAGACACTAAACAAATACTACCCAATAAATGAGCTGTAACAGTCACTACTTAACTGCTCATTTTTCCTTCAAAAAAAAAAAAAAAAA